TTAATTTAAAAGAGATATTCAATACAAAAGGACCTTTCCCTGCCGAGGCAACATTACCCATACATGAAATTCGTTTAAAAAGTGCAATCTACCTAAATGCATTTGCCTACCAAAAAATGTCCTGCGCCTGAATAATAGTGTTCTGATTCATTTTGAGGGTTTATTCTTTGATTGCCATTGCGCCGCCTTTTTCTATTGCCCATTCGTTCAGATTAGAACTGATTATGGCTCGCCGACTACGTTTTACTAAAGGCAACTTCGTACTACGTGGCCAGAGACGGTTTAATGGAGTCGTCAAATAACTGTTCAACTTTGGAGTAGAAAACAATATCAAGTAAATCTCATTTGTGCGCTGAACTTATCCATGGTCCTGTGCTTGCTCAAACGATTTTAAATACACAAACCTTATCTTTAAACACTATTAAGGTCTCGCGTTCAAGTGATGAGATTAGCGAAACCCCCTCCATTTATGAAATGGAATACATGTCGAATTGTATCGTGAGGCAGAATATATCAGCTTGAATTTGCCGATGGCTTTATTTATGCCAGTGATGAATTCATAACGATTCAAAACAACGTGACGTGGCCTCTAAAGCCTGTGAGTTACAAATGGAGCAAAGACAAGTCTGCACTATCCAAGGCTAAAGTAAGAATTTTTTAGATCATTGTACTAAAGTGAATAGAATTCAATGAATAAGAGCTCTATTCACCCTGTCACATAAGGTGATGAAGGACTGAAACTCGAAGTTCTCCAAAATGATGAGTGGACCTTACCTTTCCATCGAATTTCACTTAGCCTTGTTTCCCAAAAGGTATTCTCACCCTGGCTGGACTGTAGTTTAGATATCTCCTAGACTTCATTAAAACCGCCAATGGGAATTGAGCCTGGGTAGTGCGGCATGTAACTTCAATACGTTAAGACCACGAATGCCAATGGGCCACAGGACATGTGTTAATTTTAGAGAAAGCAATGCCTCTATCATATCACATTTTAACGTGGGAATATGGATAAGAGAAGAGCTCTTATTTAGGATCTACCTACTCGATCAGAATAAAAATTAAATAACTTCGTTAGATGGGCAAAATAAAGACTAAAAATGGAAAAAGAATACAGAAAATGGTTACGTATCGCCCCCAGAGTATGAGCCCTTTGAAGCCTATATAAGAAAGTTTAAACTGAATAAAACTCGCTCTGCAAGAAATATCTTACAATAAAATCACTTGAAACTTTGTGAAATAGTGACGAAGAAAAGAACCAATAAAAATTCACCTGCAAGGCTTTAGAGCTTGCTAATTTGGGAAACGATTAGGATGCAATGGGCAGTATGATATGAGGCAATATTTCCGATTTTGGTGAAACCAAGCAGAACTTTGATCTAATATTACACCTAATAGTATAAGCTCGCTTTCGCAACTTTGCTGTATTGTCAGGAACCTACGCACCTTGTTCAGGGTCTTCAGTCATAGTAGCCATGATAATTAGCAGTATCGAACCATATACATAGAGCATTCCCACTCCATTATCGTTAATAAGCCTTGCCATTCTTAGCGCCAAAATAAAACGCGTCAGAGACAAGTGAGGTCTGACAAGCAGCTGTGGTATCCCTCCTTGTCCTGAAACATTCGCTTATTTAATATCATCGTAACGCTTTTTTCACTATCACAAATTTTAACTTGTTTATTTCAACCAACACCAGAGATGCGCTAGTATGAACGGATTTGGTGAGGCTTATTAAAATTGAGAAAATGAGGCAAAACCACTTTAGGACAACAAAAGGAAACCGCAACCATAATAAAAATCACACCATCTTGGTTTTCATATTTTCGATTGCACCTAATGTCTCAGCCTCGTCAGCTTAGATGGTAGATTAGGCCTTTGGGGGTAACCTTTCAAAATACAGAGGTTTTGAGGCTTTTAATGTATAGCGAACAGAATAGAGCTAACGTTTAAACTCACAAAAGTGTAGGGAATTGGATAGAGAAGTATAGGAAAGAGTAAACATGCATTATCAATTTGATAGCTGTATTAGTGGTCCATAAACACCTACTTATGAAGCGAAAGTATCAATTTAAGTTTGGCTTGATTAAGGAATTATTAGCACATATCGGGCGAATTCATAGCAAGCTCAGTGAATTTCTGTTGGATATTTAAAAAAAATATGAATACAATCAAATTCAACCTTTTGGAAACGAAGGACTAGATGCAATAAACCATAAACTTATCTGGAACTCAAAAGAGGGCGGCTCCATATGCCTAAAAAGAACCAAGTAAAAGTCCAGGAATTTCTCATGACAAAGAAAACTATAATGCCACTTACTATAGACAATAAAATAAGAGGAAACAATTAACCGAATACGCGTTTCTAAGGCAATCAACACTTGCATTTAGGAAAAGACGCTATTGGGTAGCAACTACGTAAATACTTGCCCTTAAGATTAAACAAGATGATAACAGCACAATTTTAAGTTACTTATACATTGAAATAAACTTAGTTACTATAAACTAACAAATGTCCTGTTCTCGCTGATATAATGTATAATCCATTAGATAAATTAATATAATACTTTAACGGCAATATAAAGTTAAGTAATGGTTATAGGATGACAAACAGAATTTTTTTAATCACTTTGAAAAACATCAAGCAAATAGTAGTTATAGATTTGCTGCTTCCAGAAGAGATTTCGACCCTAAAGCCAGCTCTATATTAAGCATCGTATGCTAATATGCATTAAATATATATATATATATATATATGCACCCGCAAATCTAATATTTTATATATTAGTACTACAGTGAATGGGCCAAAAAACATACGGGGCTAAGATCATCTCGTTCTCGGAGGCCCACTCGCTCTCTGATCTGATTGAATTCACGAAGATAATCATGCAGAATCTCTCGATGTCGATTCAAGGTGTGCTGATGATTGATGCTGCCGGTACTTGAAGAGGAGGAAAGAGAAGCTTTGGAGCCAGATACACAGTCACTAAGGTGATCGTTAATCCGTATTAAGCTAAAAAGGTGAGCGGTCAAGATAATAAGTTTGATTACTTCGAAGAAGCGAAATAAAGATAAGGTATGAGAGACAATACTTGTCAAGAAGCTCATCCAAGTCCTTCTTCGTTCTCTCAAGTTGCTTTAGTGAACTGTCGCGACTGGACTTATTCGAGGCAGACGAGGTAACTGCCAATGTATCGCTGATCAAAGGAGGACGAAAGCCTATGTTAACGCTGAGTTTTCCAAAGATTGCGAGTTTGGTGTCGATCTCATTTTCAAGAAAACGAGCGTGCCGACGAAG